TGAATCTACCGCAGAACTTGAAATTCGACTTTGTGGAGTGGGAGGAGGATGAGGAAGGGTATAAACGCTGGGAAGAGGGCACACTGGGCGTCCCCTTTGTGGATGCTGGTATGCGGCAAATCAAACACGAGGCCTATATGCACAACCGCCTACGCATGAATGTCTCGAGCTACTTGTACTGCAACCTGCTCATCGACTACAGACGAGGAGAGCGATACTTTGCGGAGAAACTGATCGATTGGGATCTGAGCAACAATACACAAGGCTGGGAACCCAGCTACACGGTGTTCAACCCTGTGAGCCAGGCCGAGAAGAATGATCCCGCGGGCGAGTACATTCGCAAGTGGATCCCAGAGTTGAAGGGTGTGAAAGGGAAAGCGGTCTTTGATCCATATCATCGGTTGGACCAACAGCAGTTTGAGAGACTAGGTTATCCCAAGCCATATGTTGACTGGCACAAAACGAAGCAGCGGGCGATCGAAAGGTTCAAGTCGAACATGAAGGATGCTGATCCTTGAGCTGCACAGTGTCCGAGTGAGGTCTATGTTCGTCCTTTCCAGGGTTGGATATGGAATTATTCCTCCACAATGACCGTGATGCGGTCGATGTCCTCCATTCTTTTGTTGATATCATTGTCTTTGAGGTGGCTGCAACGCCCACCCTGTTTGTAAACCTCCATGTCTTCACCCTTGACAACATCAATCCTGACAACAATAGAGCGAATAGACCAGCATGGCCGCGATGAGAGGTGCCGGGATGTGGCAATTGACGGACACCTACTAGAGCCTCCTCCTATTAATATCTGTCCTTGGGGTTCTTGTCAGCGCAACGCTCCTTTCTGACCTTCTTGTCGTTATATCACTTCATTCGCATCGTCGAGAACGTCAGACTAACCTGAAACTGGCATCCTTCTACGTCTCTTCGCCTGGTATCGGTCGTCGCCGCCGGTCCGACCGGGCTTGTCAAAGAGAAGGACGTCCGCTTAGTGAATACGATCCTACCTTCACTGCCAACGGGGCCGCCGCCTGCCTCTTCGTTCCACCTGCCTGTTCGTCCCGGCACAACAAGCACATCCGGCTTACCTGACTACTCGAGAAGAAGAGACTCTAGAAGAAATCACCGCCAAGCAGCCGTTTAGAGAAGAACAAGAGATCATAGCCAAGTTGCCGTTTGTTTGTTGACACCATGTTCTTTTTATATTTATTCACGCCAACGATGCCTTCTGATCTGCCGCTTGTTGTTCGACCGGCGGCTGACGAACTTCGAGCACAACTTTACCAGCTCACGGAAGTCGGAAAAGCCCTCCAAGCTGAAAGGGTCACTCTGGAACACCAGTTGAGAAGCGTTCAAGAGAGAATCGCTGCCAACGAAGGCAGAGTCCGTGCAATCATGGCTGACCTTGATGCAAGGTTGTTCAAGGAACATCGTTCCCAGCGTCAGCCCCAATTCCAACGGAGTGTCGTTGGAGATGAGACTGTCATCGAGGGCATCCGCGCCCAGATGGCGCACAGCCTTGGGTTGACCAGCGCGGTTGAGGCCGTGAGCAAAAACCAAGGGACGATTGCCGATAACAACCTCCTCCTCACCGCAATCATGACCCAGCTGAGTGGCGACCCGTTTCAGCTCGCTCATCGCGTTGCTCGTCGCATCACAGAGATTGATCGAATCAGAGCCCAACAGCGCCAAAACTTCCCTCTTCAACTCAACCTCACTTATCCTTCACCTGGTCAACATAGTCTCACCTATCCCTTACCTGCCCTGCCTGCCTTACCAGGCATCGTCAATCCTCCCTTGCCTTCCACACAGGCCGCAGTTGTCGGAGACGTGAGTATTCAAACAACCAGAGAACCGTCAGTCATCCCTCTGCTCTCACCTTCCATCAAATCCGAGAGTGACTTCACTGCAAATCCGTACAATGACACAAACACTCAACCGGACCTCACCGAAGCTAACATGCATGACGACCCTGCTACTGTAGCTCGGTCGGTCGAGAGCAACCCGGTTCCTCGCGCGCAACAAAGTCATGTCGTCGCACACGGAATGGCAGCTCTTCAGAAGGATTTCCCAGGACTTCTGGAATCCTTGAGCAAACCCTCAGTGACACGCACCAGACCGACCCCCACCAGCCCTGCGTCTGCTGCTACTACTCCTACCGGAGCGCGCAGCAAGCGTGGTCGAGCATCCATGGAAGCAGACGACAGCCCAAGTCAGTGTGCAGCTAAGACAGGCAAGAAGGTCAAGACTGACAAGGAACCAAGTAAGCCACCCCTCTCAAGACTCGATGGAAGGTGCTAACCTCGGAAAAGCTATCGCGCATACTTTTGTCAGGTACTTAACACGCCTCGAACAGACGCACCAGTATGGTGGAGCCATAACTGAGATGCTCAAATGCGCCCGTTGCCAAATGATCAAGCGGGACGTCCGGGTTCTCAACTGCCTCCATCTGTACTGCCATCGGTGTATTCTTAAACTCCGGACTGAAGCGTCAAGGGGGGATGCGGTCAAAGGATTCCAATCATTCTGTGTGAAGCCAGGCTGTACACAAGTCGTCAGCGGCAAGACCACTGTGATCGACTCCGACATCATTGACTTCTTGCAGTGGTACGACAAGCAGTCTCCAACAATCACCTCCCTTCCTGCACAAGTCAACGTGCTCAACGCTGCGCTTGTCAAGTACCCTGAGGATGAGGACATCAAACGCAAGTTGGATCAGGTGCAGGCACAGTACGGAACCCTTCTGGCCAGTGGTGACGCGGACATCCCCTGTAACCTCATGCAAATCGCAAAGTTGGCCAGGAAGCCATACTGAACAACATCAAACAAATCGAGATGTGGACACATGGAGTGAGGGTGATGCGCGCTTTGGTCCCGCCATCGACATCTCTAGTAGATCCCGCATTGAGACTCGGGTTGAAAACATGAATTCTCAGCGATTCGGTGCTGGCGACAATGGGTAGCAAAGGGCAGTTGAACTCGTGCTCGATGGCTACAGTCATTGAGGTCTTGCAAGCTTGGCAGGAACCGGTTTCATTGTGGTGTTTCATCCTCGGCGATCCGACACCCATGTCGGAACAAGCACCCCAATACGCAAGCATGCCAGGATATTATTTGCATTTGTCCGGGAAATGGACTCTGGGTCAACAAAAGGGTCACTCGAGCGCCGATATTGGATCATGGATGGATGAATGGGCGGCTTCCATATCAGGCACACACAGAACAGAGCGAGATGCAGCAGCTGCCAGAAGATCACTCACTGCCTACGTATTTCGTTAGTAGATAGGTAGAAAGATCCATAGGTGGAGAAGAGAGTTGCAGCGGCAGTCTAGATAAAGGTCCCAAACACCAAAAAAGGAGAAAGAAATCCTTTGTTTGTACTCGGTTTTCCCTGCTTCCGCAAGTAGTACGGCCAGTTACGAGTGGGATTGAACAATGATAGAATTTGAGATCTGATATACATATGCATGCAGAACGGTAATCAACGATGTGCTCAACGTGCCTGCGATGTATTTTTGATCTTGTTGCTGCTGTTGCCGTTGCCGTTGCCGTCGCCGTTAAGAATCCCACATCGACCAGACCAGGCCAGCGAGCCGCTCTAGATCCAACTCCTGTGGTCTAGTGTTTGGTGCACAAGATGAGCTGAAGCTGGCGAAGCCGTGAGGATCGGATTTTGCGAACGTGAAGGGATGTGCTTGGGGTGCAACGATGGCCCTTCAGTGCGCGATGGACATGGCCAGGATTTCTGTTCACCTACACAGTTCGTCCTCATCCTTGTCTTTGTGCTTGTCTTTGTCCTCCTCATCCCGCAAGGGCCCAACCCCCCCCTTTCGAGGGTTTTCTTCTTTCTTTTTACCATCCCTGCTTTCTCATCTTCCGGATCCTGGCCAACTCGCTCCGGAACCCCTCCATGAACAACTTGCGCCACCTCAGGATTCGTATGTTCTTCCTCCGCTGGCCCCTACGGACGTGCTTCTCTTGGCTCCTCATGTCCTGCTTGACGTTGTTCTCGTTGCATTTGCGTTCCAACAGGCGGAAGCCTCGCGTCGGGTCGCCGTAGATGCCGTCCACCGTGCGGCCCAGCGTCGGACGCAGGCGCAGCGTGATCGGCGGCAGCGAGGACGAGTAGATGTCTTCGTGCAGGTCGGAGAGGAGGGTCGAGGTGGAGGGCGTGTTGTTCTTGGTGCTGTCTGAAGTAGGAGTGTTGGAGGCAGCAGCGGCGTTCTGGTTGCGAGCAGTCCCCAGCAGTTGGTCCCAGCGTGAAGCAACGCTTTCTTTCCTCTTGGGCTCTGGAGCTCGGGTCTCGCGGATCAGGTCCAATAGCTGGTTTCTCATCGGATTGGGAGAGGAGTTGTTGCTCTTCCTCGGAGGTCTAGAGTGCGATGGAGCTGAGTCCTGGGATCTGGAAGCTGTAGAGCAGAGCGGCCTCGCTTGTCCTCGCAGTATAGGTCGAACGACATCGTGAAGGGGTGATCTCTGGTAACTCGAGGAGATGAAGAGGCGTGCTGATAATTGGGGGGACAAAGCACAACGTGTGCAACTCTGTAGGGATTGAGACGTCTTCATTGTCGCTGTTTTCGAGTAGAAGGATCTGAAGAAGCCCTCGAGCACGTCGCCTGGACCCAGTGGCGAGCAAATAAGGGCGGGTCGATGGCCTGAGCGGGTGATGAAGCGTGTGTTTCATACAGTTCAATTGAAAGACTGTGACGGGATGCAATCTCAAAAGCTCGGCCACACAAAATCGCCAGCCAATCGAGTTCAAGCTTCTGCGGACCGAGATCCAGCTCTTGAGTGTGCAAGTACAGTCCACATGGACTCCCCAGAATTCCCTCGATTCCGGTACGTCGCCTCCAGGTTTCGCTTCAGCCACATATTCCAGCAATCTACCAGGTCCCGGGAGGGAGACGTTGATGAACTATCCGCGCATTTGCTTTGACGCTCTATATCTGCCACAAACACTCAGACAACTTACCCATCGCTCCCACCAGTCCACTGCGCTCCGCAGGATGTCTTCCAACTCGTCCAACCTGGTCACGCTCTCTTCGCTCAAATACGTCCACCCCACGACCCTGGGTCCTCTCCTGCTCGATCCCACCGAGAAGGCCAAGATCGCCATAATAGACGTCCGTGACTCTGACCACATCGGTGGCAACATCCACGGCAGCACATGGATCCCCCTGCAGCAACTGGACGTGAGAATGCCCGAGCTGCTACGGACACTGAAGGACAAGGAAAAGGTGATTTTCCACTGCATGCTGAGTCAACAGAGAGGGCCAAAGGCGGCCTTGACATACGCGAGAGCGAAAAAGAGGGCCGACGCCAAAGAAGCTGCTGAGCAGGCGCAGTCGCAGGAGGAAGAAGAGGCGAATCAAAACAGAACGGAATCGTCACCACAACAGGAGATTTGCGTGCTGGAAGGCGGATTCGGCTCCTGGCAAGCACGGTTCGGCGAGGATCCGAGGCTCACAGCAGATTATCAGCCGGACCTGTGGTTTTGATCTTCACGCAAGCTGACCTCTTTTTTGGGGTTGAACGGGACTTCTCTCGATCTGCTGCAGATCTATTGGCCCGCCGTTGAATTGGGAATTTGCCAGCAGAACCGGTCTTGGAACCTCAAGCGGAAGTCCATGACCGCACCTCAGCTTACCATCGGCCCAGAACGGACCAGATCCAGACCAGGAAAGTTGGGTCTCGGGGCCGTGGAAGCATGGACAGCCACAACCTGCAGCAGCATAAGCCCATCTATTGCGCGGGTGTCGTCGCACCTTAAAGTACAATCCATTTGCGGAGAGAATGGTGTGACTCTCCAAATTCTCTTCGCTATGTATTGAAGGGGAATCCATACCCAATGCATTAGAATGATGAAACGTTAACATGTGGTACCGCACGCCGTCCGTCGTATGCCCAACCAAAATGGCCACTTATCATGAACCTGGTACATTGCTGTAAACCTGGAAACGCGAACCTGATCTCCACCTCGGTAATTATACCCTTTTATTTGCTGATTGCTTCAGCTCCATCTCTGTATTTTCGTGATGTTTATGCTTCACGCGACACATGGACCGAATGCCTAGGACTGCTAGCCAAAAGTTCCCCTGAGGCTCGTCCGGAGCGAGTTGATACAGCAGGTCACTCTCCCAGCTGATGTTGTTGTAAACATTCATGATGCAGACCACCGTGTTGAGAATCCAGACGATCAGAAAAATGATCCAGTACGCCTGACTGGAGGCTTTGTCGCGAAAGCGATATGCAACTGCCCAGGTAACCATACCGATCAGAGCAGTTGGCTGCGAAGTTAGTCAGTGGAGCCCGGAAGCGACGTTACTTACTTACCGCACAGAGCCGTTGGAATCTACAAGCGAGGTTGAGATAGGCCATCCGGTCTGCGATGGTGTTGCGGGGAGCGGTCGCCATCATCCAACAGGTTTGGAGGAATGCCATCCTATTTAGATGCAAATCTATCAGACAACTCTGCAAACGATTTTCGGGGGCTGAGCGAGATCACAGAAACTACTTACCAATGCATGGCAAGGAAAGGCGAGATAGTACCAATAAAGGCATGGCTTTGTGCTCCAAACAGAGATCCTACGCATGCAGCAGCGATCTCCAGGCACCATGAGCAGATGGCCAGGAAGTAAAAGATGGTATATTCTTGGATGCGAGCCAGTGGGCCTCCAGTGCGGAAAGGCAATGCTGCTGGCTCATCTTCACATGGATTCTCGATGGGTTTCGCCATGTCGAGAGAGGGAGGACTGGGATCCGAATGGCGTTTCCAAACGTGTTTGGTGCCCGGCAAGGAAAAGAGGAAAGAGAAAAAGAGAAAAAGAGGGCAAGACTCAGAGGGTCCGCTAGATGAGTACTGCGCCTGACAGCGGAAACTTCTGCAAAGAGGTGAATGATGAATTGATCCGCAGAGGCTGTACGGAGGACGTGACTTGGATGATGATGATGTTGATCCGTGGTGATCCGCCACTTGCCGCCCAAAACAAGGCAGAATAAAGGCCAAGAGGGCGAAGCAATGGTCGTCCGTAAGAGCGGCGAGTTTTAGGTTAATCTTCGGAAAAATGGACAGGCCGAGAGGTCTTTTGGTCTTGCTGTCACTTGCTTGCCGTCACCTTCACGATTCTTTTTGTATCTCGTCGTCAACAGACTGCTCATTCACAGCGTAAATCACGCGTCTCGCGTCTTACGCACAATGGCTGCTCCTCTCAAGACTTTCCCTATATGCGGCGTGACATACGTCGGACAGATCGAGCATGAGTACATGCACAGCAAGAAACTGTCCGTTTGCGCAAACTGCCTGGCCCTTGGTTTTCAGAAGCCTCTGAGACGATGCAATGGCTGTTTGTTGGTCGACTACTGCTCCAAGGAGTAATGTCGTGCATATATTGATCGTGGAATTGTCCTGACTCGTTGTTAGGTGTCAAAAAGCCCACTGGCGCAAACACAAGTCATTTTGCAACATGGTTCAGGGCAAAGGAGATCCCAATGCCTATCTCTCGTCTTATAGCCATGGTGAAGCCCTGCGACTCATCATCGATGCCTACCGCCTCAGAGTCGAGACCGACCACCTATCCCGAGATGAGGACCATGGCATATATTACCCCGGGAAACCGATCGACGGCTTAGTCTGGGCCAAGGGTGACGGTTAGTACAACTGCCTCAAACTTCAAAACCTTCTGCTCGTGTGTGTTACTGATCCTGGCAACCGTAGCCATTGATGACTTCCAACGATTCCTCGATTTGGCCGAGGGGTCGAAAATCTTACCGAAATGGTGGGCATTTGAAGACCGAATGCAGTGCCTTTCTTTGGCAATTGACAAAAATGATCCCGAGTCCATCTTCCACCCAATCAATCAGACTGAGCTTCCCCAACGGTATGGGGGTGATATGGCAATCCGGTTGGCGCTCGCTATTCTTGCCGAAATGTGCGTCGGTTACGATGGAAAGGGATCAGCCAAAGATAATGCTTGGTTCCAGGAATTCCAGGAATTCCTGGACCTTCATCCAGAGGAACGAGCCCGTTTGATCAGAGGAAGTATCGAAATGGTGGACTCGGTGCTGAAAGAGCATGGAGAAGAGTTCGGACGAAAGCCGACATGACAGTCGTAGGGGGTACCCGGTCCAGAGTCCACGTCAAGCAGCGGAGAGCGCTGGCATTGATCCGTATTTGAGGTCAACACAGAAGAGAAACTGAAATTGACTTCTTATATGTTAGGATCAGGCCCGAGCGATGAAACTGGCTCCGTGCCGACCACTCGAGGAGGTGTTGAGCATGGTGGGATGCTGGGGCCGTTTTAAGGGAGACCAGTCAGCCACAAGACGGGTCTCACTGTCAACCAGAAGGGCTAGGGGAACTCACGCCTGACAAATGTACTCGGGAGAAGCCTTGCGGAGGGAGATGTGTCTGGCCAGTGAAAAGATGCATTTGACCTTCAGGTGAAATGTCCAGAGCAACCGAATACCAGCAAGACATCTCCAACGACTGGTTGATGGTAGGTTGATGGTGTATAATGCTGGAGCGACACTGATAGGGCACCAGAGGAGACGGAGTCAGAGTCTCTGATTGAAAATGGCATGCATCAATTGGTTCCAGAAGCGGCCTTGAGTGTTACATATATGTATGGTTCCTCGGGTTTGGCAGAGTGAGGGTGAGGGCAGCCTTGACTGATTCTTCCGTGGTCGCGGAAGGGTCGACTCCAACTTTCCCTGTCGACACTTTGCGTTTGCCACTCGAGCCTTCTCCGAAGCCACCACCTCAATCTTCATATTGCGTTTCGCATCGGCGTCTGCGAGGCGGCATCATGGCAATGCTGGAAGTTGATATCATGGCAGGGACAGTCAAAATATCTGTTGCCGAGTATGAATCGTTGGTGAGCACTTACTTCCTCAGTCGTTTTGAGCGTCGGGCCCGCGCGCAGCCCTAACAACAATGTACAGGTCGACACAGCGCTCAAATTTCTTTCTTTGAGGCAGGCATTGCTTGCAGGAGGAGCCACAACGGAGACCGTGGACGTCTTGATCAGCGCCAATTTTCCACCGAAGCCTCACAGCGAAGATACTAGTTCGACCCGCGAAGATGGCTCGGGAGCAGTGCCCATACCCGCCACGCGATCTTCCGTTCCTGGGGCTCATTCTACAAAATCCACAAACCCTGATCAACGTCTGCCTCGTTTTGGTCCGTTGATTCCTCAGACACCTGATGACACTGATGAGGGTGACATGCCGGAGGAGCAGGCAGAAGTATCGAGGAACCGCCATGTCAAGCGGTCACTGGCAATCACTGGACTCTCGCCCGTCACAACCCTCCATTCCGTCGCCCAGGTCCTCAAGGGTGGTGACATCTTTCAGATGCACATTCGCTATAGAAATTGCTCAGCCCACGTGAGCTTCGTGGATCCGGCTGCAGCTCACAGCTTTCTTCGCTACGCGCAGACAAATGACATCTACATACAAGGGAAGAAGGTGAGCCTGCACCAGCCAAGGATTGGCATTGGAGGCTGCTAATAGCATTCAGGTGACCGTCGCATGGGATCACAACCGACAGAGTTGGATGCGACCGAGCCTTGCCAAATGCATCGAGTCGCTCCGTGCGACTCGCAACCTAGTCATCCGCTACGTCGGACCAAATATGACCGCAGATAGCATTCGAGAAGACCTCGACCACATCCATGGCTTGGAAGTTGTCAACCTCTTCTTCGAGGACGGCCATGCCTACATATCTCTGAACAGCATTCGGTCTGCTCTCACGGCCAGGAACTGCATGCTCTCGCGGTTGAAGTATAAGCGGCTTAAGATTGCCTTCTATCCCGATGAATGTGCTCAACCACTGCCACCCGCGAGTATCAGCCCGTCGCAAAAGCTATCGGACTTCAGGCCAGCAGGAATCTCGCACCAAAATCGCTTCGAAGTGCTCGACGAATCCCAAGAGGGTTAGGAGTTGTCGGGCAGGTCGGCCTTTGAGGATATTCACACAATACGCTTCTTGATGGTAGGCAATAGGACAATGACATATGTTTGAGTGCTTTATTTCACTCATCCACGCAGAGAGCCGGCGATGTGGCTCTGGAGCATTTAGCGACAGCGACTATCGGCCGGCAACAACACGACAGGGGTAATCGGAATCGCTGAGGTAAAAGGAATGCTGGCAGCTAACGCTGTTTTCCGACCGATCCAAACATAGAGCCTGTGCTGTGGCTTGGATCGTTGAACGACAGCGACTATCAGCTAGCACCAATGACGGGGGTATCGGAAGCGCTGAGGTAACATGAAGGCTGACAGCTTAACGTCGTCAATATGGCGGGCGACTTGTACTTGCACATCAGTGCTCTTGATAGTCAATCATGGGTTGACTCTGCCCAATGTGAATTCAGGATTCTGTAATGCATGATTTCCGGTTTGTTGCAAGTTTCATGGCTGTATCTACTTCGTTTTCATCTCTCGTGGCTGTATCCATAGTGCCAGTCCTCCCCTTTCAGGTCCTCCCTTATCTTATAGTTCTCCTCAGCCACATCGACTGTCCTCATGTCACATTCCACAACCTTCATTCCTGGCTTTCCGTCCTCGAATGATCCTGGAACTTTCCCAACAAGGGGCAATACCACTTGACTTAACCCGGCGTACCCCTCTGACTTCGGACCGCCCACATTGACGAAGATGATTGCACAGGTGTTCTCAAAGGATCTTGTAATAAGGGCGGAGCTCAGAAACTGAATATCTACATCTGGTCCATAGGCTCTCGCTTCAGGGGTCAGATCGTCTCTCGTCCAGAAGGTAGGGATGATGATCAGTCGTGCCCCCTGGCGGACCAAGGCGCGACAGGATTCAGGGAACGCTAGGTCCCAGCAGATGACGATGCCAAGGGGCCCGAGGGGAGTCTCTATCACAGAGTGAGGGTTTGGTTGAGGAGCTGGGCCTTCAGCTGAGAGATGATTCTGGGTAGCCTTGACGGAAGCAGGGCCTGATGTCAGGACTGTGCGCTCGGGGATCCATAAGTTGGCTTTTGTGTAGCTTCCCAAAAGCTCGCCCGTGTAGGAGATGAAAGGGGCGATGTTGAGGAGGACAGGGGGGTTTATCGACTCGGGAGAAGTTCCGTTGCTATTTGCAGGAGGCGGCGACTTTGGATCAATGGTGACGATAGTTCCCGGAACAATATTGATCTTCAGCTCTCGAGCAAGGGCCTGGTATTTGGTCACGTATTGATAGGCAGTTTGCGCCAGGATGGCGAACTGTGGGTCATCTGGGACCCACGATGTTAAGTGGTACTCGGGAAGCACTGCGAGCGAGGCTCCTTGTGCAGCGGCATCGCGGATATAAGCTGATGCTGCAGAAAAGTTGTACTCTGGGTCAAGAGGCTGGTTTGTCGACGTGAGCACTCCCAAAAAGCACATGTTGAGAATGGCTGTTGATAAGAAGAGGGCCATACCTTGGGATGAAGCTGGATCAAACCCACTTTGAACTTCTGCGAGAATGGTTCATAGGACGCCGCCATGGCTATTCGTCTTCATTCCAAAAATCTGGTGGAAGAAACCAATCCAATGTCTTGTCATATTGTGACTGCATGACAACAGGTTGGAGGGTTGACGAGGCTTACGACGAGGTTCCCGCACTAGACGTCATCCAGACAAGGCTGCGCTAATCCTGATGTAGATTTTGAACTGAGCCCACACATCTTTCTCAATTCTCCAACCCTCGAGCGCCACTAAATTTTCCTTCTACTGATCACAGTAATATTAGAGCAGGTTTGTCACGCGAGTACTGTGCATGGGTCGCCCATTCTCCGTGACTCTCCCTCCTGAAATCCTCCGGTCCGCCTAAATCGAACTTCCCTCATCTTCGAAGAATTTACTTTCTGCCACAATGTCATATGCAAACGGCAACGCCTTCCCTGATGAAGATGTGGAGGAAGAGACCCTCGTGGCAGACTATCAAGAGCAGGTGAACAACTATGATGATGAGGGCGCAGACTTGGAGCGCGGAGATTCGATCATCAGTGGTGGTCCAGCGGATCTGCGAGCGCAACTGGAAGCCGCCGCGGCTCCTTTGGAGTTCCAAGCAAGTCTGGAAACCAAGTGAGTTGCCCAGAATGTGTCTATCACAACGAGCATCGCTAGCATCGTTGGAATATGTCGCTTTCAACGGGCACGGGACTAATAATCCATACGCAGATTCCAAAGCTACGACAACTACTGCTCGCTGTTCCACTACATCCTCAACTCCGACGGCCCCGTAGAAATCGAGACACCCTCCTACTACTGGGCATGGGACGTGATTGATGAATTCATCTACCAATTCGAATCCTTCTGCCGCTATCGCAACCGAGTCGCACGCACTGCACCCAATGAAGAAGAAGCACAAATCCTGCGCGAAAACCCTAACACATGGGGCTGCTACAGTGTTCTTAACGTCCTATACTCATTGATCCAACGCTCGCAAATTAACGAACAGCTTGCCGCCACGAAGCGAGGCGAAGATCCCATGGCTGTAGCAGGGGAGTATGGCTCTCGCCCACTTTACCGCATGCTGGGATACTTCTCCATCATCGGTCTCTTGCGAGTTCATTGCCTTCTCGGAGACTTCAGTCTCGCTCTGAAGACTCTAGATGACATCGAAATGAACAAGAAAGCCATGTTCGCCCGCGTCATGGCTGCCCATTTGAACACATACTATTATGTTGGCTTCTCCTACATGATGCTGCGCCGCTATGCGGACGCCGTACGCATGTTCAGCCACATCCTGGTGTACGTCTCCCGCACCAAGAATTTCCAGAAGGGCCCCAATCAAGGGCAGTTTGACGCCATCGCCAAAAAGACCGAACAAATGTATGCCCTCATCGCCATCTGCGTGGCCTTTGCGCCCACCCGGTTGGACGACTCCATCCATACAACGCTTCGCGAAAAATATGGCGAGAAGTTCGCAAAACTGCAACGTGGCGGAACAGAGAGCTTGCCAATCTTCAAGGAATTATTCCAATCCGCTTGCCCGAAATTCATCACCCCAACACCGCCGGATTTCGACAATCCTTCGCTAAACATCGACCCCGTCGATCACCATACCGAGATCTTTATGGACGAAGTCCGCAATACTCTCTTCAACCCCTTGATCAAGTCATATCTGAAATTATACACGACAATGAGCATTCAAAAGCTCGCCGGCTTCTTGGAGGTCGAGCCCGAAAAGCTCCGCAGTTGGCTACTAGTAAACAAGCAGCGAAGTTGTCGGCAGATTCGCTGGACTGAAGGAGGGCTGCTGGAAGGGGAAATTGTGGGTGTCCTAGGCAACGGAAGCTCCGAGGGGCTGGATTATGCCATCGAGGGCGATTTGATCCATATCAGTGAGGCGAAGCAGGGGAGACGGCTGGTGGACTGGTACTTGAGGAATTTGGCCAGGTCCTACTAAGCGAGGAGAAAGGCGGAAATGGGGATTATTGAGCCGATGATGGTTGAGGACGGGACACAGATTTGCCCAATACAGGGAAAAGAGAACGGAAGCCTCAAGGACTGATCCTAAGTCGTGCATGTACCCGAAGCATGGGAGTAATCAGGCACGGAAGATGCCAATGTCATGTCATGATCGAATGGAAGGCACCAAAAAGAACACCAAACGAGCAGGACCTGCGAGCCTTTCGGAATAGTGTTGGTTGTGCACGACGCGTTGGCCCCTCCAATTCAATGGCCAGATCAGAGGCTCAGCAGTTGTGGATGTAAAGGATTGGGTTGAGAATCCGCGACGAGACACGCGTGAAGCAGGCGGTCCATACACACAACGCGGCATTCGTCGCTCACTCAATCCGCGAGGCAAAACCCAAGCTACATACATACGAACAATTGGAGTCGCGACGGGCGGGTGGAAAAGTAACCGACTGTCTGTATCTTCGGGTTCTGTCTACATAGAAGGCAAGAGAAGAAATGCCCGAATTTGATTTGGTTCACTTGGACTTTTGATTTGGTCTGAGGATTTTATTCCGAAGCTTTTCCTTTTTTTTAAGTTGCGTTTTGCCCTTGGGGCGCCCCTGGTGCAGTTGCTCCGTGCTAAATTATACAAGCCTCATGAATCGATGGAATTCATCAATCGTCCCGCATGTCGTCGTCCTCCCCAAAGCCACCTTCCTCTACGCTGGCGTCTCTGTCTCCGTCGCTATCCCGCGTATCCACGTTTCCATTCGCGGAAGGCGTCGTCGTCATATCATCGGCCTGATCTTTGTGAGGTACTCCGTTCATACGGACGTCTGCGTTCTCCCCATCCTCAACCTCTGCCATACTAACATCCTGCGCCTCCTCGTGCAACTCGCCTTGCTCCTGCAAAATCATATCTGCATGTTCCGCTTCTTCCTCCACCTGCGCTTGCCGGGTCAACTCTTCAAACTCATCTTTGAAGGAGGCGTCAAAATCTCCCCGAAATTCAGCGCGAGAGCGTCTTTCTTTCGCATTAGGCTCTTTGAAGAGCACCATGACTTGGTCAGGAATGTTGTCTTCCACGTTGCTGTCACGAGTTTTGGAGAGATTGCCCCTATCAGCTCTCATTTTCACTCGTTCGAGGATCGGATAGTAATATGCAGCGGTACCTTGCTTGCGGAAACGGGAGTAGCGGGAAAGCTGTTTGGCATCGACTAGTGACAATGCCATAATGCGGTGAGGATCGACTGTGTCTTGGGTGGCTTTTGGATAAACACGAACACGTTCAAAGGGTAAACGTAATGAGCCGTCGGCGGATTCTTCAAGAAGAGGTTCCATCAGGGCGGGGTCATCTTTTCGAGGATTTGAATCGTCGAAGAGCTGGCGGATGCGGGAGGTCGAGTCAGGATGTTTAGGGACGGAGAGAGACCATGTGTATGGCTCAGGTCCAGGATCGGCGAATCTTTCAGGGTCTTTATCAAAGGCCTCTTTTGCTGCCTGCCAGGCTGGCATCAAAGATGTGTTCTCCGAGGCCATCAGTAAGCCGACGTCGATGCGATCATCTCTTCGGCCTTTGAGTGGAGGTAATGGTGGCTTGTCGAACTTAAGAGCTTGCCAATTTGAGGCCATGTCTGTGCCGGTCTCGAGATCAGGGATAATGGGGTAGAATTCCACAGGCTTGAGCCTGGGATTATCGGGATGGACAGGATTTCTCCAGGCATCTCGGTCCTGGGGCGTGATAGGATTTGCTTTGGCTTCTGGAGGATTGGATGGGATACTGTCTGGGTAGGCAAGGTCGAAGCCCTTTTGAATCTGTCGCTTGATATTTTCTGGGTCGTCTCGGGTGACAGGCACTGGCGGTGCCTTGTGCACTTGAGGCTTTTGAGTCCGTGCGCTTGATCGCATGAATGCATCATTTGCTCGAGCCATTTGCGAAGATGTCATGTATTGTGTCTTGCGCAAAAAGGAGACGTTGTTCTTTGCGCCCTGGCTCTTCAGCTGATCCAGCGACATTAGCAACGCTTGGTCGGCAGGATCCAGCACAGGTTGGACTTCGGGAGCCATGATTGCGCTTTCGTCGCCTAGAAAGTAGCCTGGGACACCGATCATATCTATAGGCATGCCACCTTCAGCGTCAACTTCAATATTTGGTTCTTCTCGTTTTGCCAGGCCCGACGCGTAACTCGTGGTAAGGTACTGAGCCAAGCCACCGGTGTCAATATCTAGGACTGCAAACGTGTATCAGCATGCGCAAACCAGGCTTGGGGGACATCGGGCACTTACACTTCGGAGACATGGGAGGCGGAGGCAAATCATTTCGATATCGTATCGAAACGACCATGTCCTGCTTGAAGCCCTTTGTTTCGGCCATCTTGACGGGCGTCTTCGTAGATCGAGCGCCACGGCAGCGTGACAAAAACCGTGGAATTGGGGCGCGAGCCCGCGGTTTGAGATGGCGCGGAGTAGGTTGTAGCCTTATGAGTAGATTGGCGTATTTGGGAATGCGAGAACTGCAGGAGACAGATACTGCGTGCCTGATCGTGTGTTTTTCACCTCAAGTCAGTACCAACTGCTTGCTACAGTACGAGGTACAAATCTCCAAATCGCGCTGGGGAAAGTTGCGGACGCAGACCGCGGACTGCAGCCAAAGCGAATAACTTCAAAAGACCGTCTTTTCAACTGCATTGCAAGGTTGGATGCAGTATCGACGGAGTGAATACGTGTCAGACCGTCCCATTTTTTGATTGCGGCTTCTTCTCGTTGCGGAGCTTGGTCTGGTCTTGGTCTGATTCACTATTCTCACCCGATCTTCCTTGCCAACTTCACCATTCTCTCCACTAGGATTGTCTGCATCTGTCACTTCTGAAGCCCTTGACTTTCGTTCAAGCCTCAGTTCCACGCAACAAACAATGGGTTGGTTTTGGGCTGATGGACCGAAAGCGAGCGTTCGTACGGCGCCGTCACAGCCCGCAGCCGCTCCTCTGGTATATACCTGTCACCTTTCCACGTACCATGACTTGGAGGACTAACTCGCTCAAGTTGGGATGCCCTATGCATAGATCCGACACAGGAAACCCCACGCCGTTCCCGTCGCGGCTCGATCAATCGACATCAACGCCCTCTTCATGCCCAGTCAAGTCTCCAAACCACCCGCTGAGATATCAAACATCGGAATCATCGAGCCAAACTCAATCTTCTGAGCGAAAGACTCTGCAATCCTCCTCTTCGACTCTCTCTAGACTGAATCCTTTGAACTACATGCCTTCCCTTTCCAACAGCCGCCCAGCCGATTCCCCCCAATCAATAAATTTGCCTCTCGACCGGGAACTGTCTTCCATTCCTCGCAATGATTCGGAGTCAAATTGGGAATATCCTTCTCCACAGCAAATGTACAATGCGATGCTTCGCAAAGGCTACACCGACACTCCCGCTGAAGACGTCGAGGCAATGGTTGCCGTGCACAACTTCTTGAACGAGGGAGCGTGGGCAGAGATAGAGGAGTGGGAACGGATCTTCTCTGGTGGGTTATGGAAAGGCTGGGAGACTTGTTCACGCGGTGAACAAGCCATCTCTTTGGATCGGGCAAGGCAGGAATACGCCGCTCAACGACGATTAGCCCTCGGATTAACCCCGGATCCCCAGGAAGACGAGTCCAAACCAAAACTAATTCGCTTCCAAGGGCGCCCTCAAGAACCTTCGCCCAAGGCCCGGATCTTGCAAATGTTGGGCAAGGTCTTCCCAGACTATTTCTCTCAAGAACCTCCCTTCGACCGACACGACTGGTACGTCTCTCGAAAACTCCGCAATGGGTCAACAAAAGAAGTCCGCTACGTTATAGACTATTACGGAGGCGGTGTCGAACAGGAAACAGGGCAGCCTGTCTTCTACTTGGACATCCGACCTGCACTGGACACGCCGACGGCGGCAGTAGAGAGGGCCATGAGGTGGGGAGGGGACGTGTGGCATCGAGCATCTGGAGGAGCGGCCAGGGAGGCTGCCGCAAGAACCCAAGAAAAGGAAAATGGGTCATGACTTTAATGGCCGGAACGGATTGCCATGATTGAAATGACATGAAGTACATGCGCATTTTGACTTGTTTGAGATTTGGATCTACTGGTGCTGCCAGGGGGGCTACTCTACCGTGATCGGAATTGAAATTCCACGGCAAAAGAGCGCTCTGATGATTTCGACGGTACCCATTCTAGGAGGGCGCGTTTTGTGCTTTCTGAATGTTTGGCTTTGCACAGGCTTGTATTTGGAGCTTCTGATTCTGTCGGGCCCCTGTTCCATATAGGGTTTTGAACCCTCTCCTCCTCCTCTATAGCATAGTGATGTAATAATGTCCTGTAGACTAGATTATACATGAATGACGGCCATTGTCCATACACATGTTTGTCCACGGTCTTCTGTATAACGAACTCGGTCTGTTTTCCGATCCTACTTTTTCCTGCTCCTGGGGTTATAAATAAACATGGCAACGATGTCACATCGGCGATCAGATAGCCTGTAAATGGCCGAAAGGGCAATGCACTGGATGACAAAATGAGAATCTGCCGGTGATAGAAATTCATGAGAGAAATCAAGGGCGCCGGACGCGTTCCATCCCGGTCCTTGCGGTCCAAGAGGGTTTTTTCGCAGATCTCGCACTGCTCGATGCGGGTGGCCTCTCAGCCCATCGAGCCCGCGGTCCAGGGTCATTGGAGGTCGTGGTGAGGCTGGTGAGTCGAGTTCTGAACCTTGCGAACGTCGGCCCAGATGCCCTGCCATATCGAAGACTGCAGCCGAGGCATATACAGGAGCCCGTACATGACCTGTTCGACCTCTTCCCAGGTCAGGAGACGAAGATCCCGAGCAACCTGCACCAGGAACTCTGTGAAGAAGCGCTGCTCCGGTTGTTCCAGCGAGTTTTGCACGAAGACGAAGAGGACCCAGCAGATGATCTTTTGTTCTTGTGCGTCTTCGGATCGTTTCCAGTGGAGCCACTTCTCAAACGCCCCTTTCTGGTGGTGTGTTAGAGCTCTCCCGAGCCCGGTAGGAGCCATAATCGTGTGGGGAGCAATCGAGAGCATGCCCAGGGCTGCAAGACGGATGATGCCTTCCAGTGCTGGGATTTCTGGCTCATTGTCCTTATTTCGAGGAAATATATCTGTTTCATAGGGATATGCTAGCAGATCAAATTCTAGCTCTGTTGCTTTCTTCCGCAAGCTCAGGTTCTCTGCTGGTGACGGGCTTCGGGAAGCCGCACTATGCATTTCACAAAGACGGCAAATATCCCTGGCTGTAGTGAGCAGCAGTTTCAATCGCTGGCTCATTTGCTGCAGCTGCATGAAATCCTGTCCCAGGCGAGTCATGTCAGTTCCAAGATGTTGAGCAGCACAGGACAAAACCTCTTCAGGTAAGGGTTCGCGCGTGAAAAGCAGCGGGAGGACAGGGCGCACAAGTAGTCCAACCGAGACTTTCACATTCGACAGCGGTAGCCACATCATCGTTTCGTCGGATAGGGTCATCTGTGAAGTTATCCGCTCGAGGATTTTCAGATGTATTCTGGCTTCAGCGAAGTTGCCCACAACTGTAGCGGTCGAGATAAGGCCGAAGCAGGCCTCAACCATCTGGTCATCTACGTTTGCACGCTGGTCGAACGTGCGGCGAACGGCCACCATTGCTTCATTCTTAACTCTGATGTAGTCTGGATCGAAGATAAGGTCATCATGATTGGTATTGGATGGCGCAAGGTCTTCATGTCGACCATAGAAGACTGCTCTATGGGCTGCAGTCGTCGCCATGAAGCCTAGGAACGTTGCAGGGTTCGATGTCTTGCTGTTCAAAACCATTTTTTGTCGCGCAAACTTATCATGAGCTTGCTTCGTCTCGACACAGAAGGTCAGTGGAAGCATAACATCAAAGCCTATGTTTACTGTCAGGGCTTTGTCGTCGATGCGGCCCGTAAGAGACACTCACAATACCGCAGCAGGCTCTCCGAGGTATGATGTGGTAATCGGTTGGTTGGTAAAGTATCGAATGGGTCGAATGCATGCACAGATGGGGATATATTGAGACGCGGAGACTGCAGAGGAGAGTTGGTCGGCCGCAAAACATCGCTTCCAGCAATGATAACTGGGCTATTGGCATTGTATTCGGTTGACTCATTGCTCAGGGACAGTTCAGAGTGAGTGGACTCGCTTCGCGGCTTTTGCTGGCTCCCATCTTTGGGACGAGTACGCCCAGTTGACCTCTTTTTGCCCTGGGCTAACTCCACCTGACGGACGCGTTGCATGACATGTGAGCGAATAGCGTGGCGCTGCTCCCTGTTGCTGATTCTTCTGTGAGACAACGAAACTAGATCCTCAGCTTGATGCACAAAGGTGAAATTGAGAGTAGGAGAAGGGGCTTGAGAGTCTGGTGGCTGAGAGCCATCAGCTGTGTCTGGCATTGGGGCGGTATCGCGGTTAGCTATATGCATGAGTGTCGACATTCGAGCCTGAATGTGGATATATTCACACCTGTACCACGCGAGCCACGGCGCATTCTCCCAGGTCCATCAGTTCAGAGGAAAGACTGATTCATCAACCAAATCTATAGCTTGTAGGACGCAGCCATGCAGCCACGAAATGTCACGCCAGTTTAACAGCTGAGTTCACACAAAACCCATCGCATGCTGACGCGGACATCCAGGGCTAGAGGAATGCGAAACCGTTGAGGATCCTCAAGGATCGCTTGCAAAGTTATAGAAGCAGATATATTGCCTGGCTATGGCCGGCCATGTGCAATCCAACCCGAGATCCACGATCCGGACCCTTTGGACGAAATAGACCTCGGAAGATGCCAGAGTAAATTAATGGCATGAGGTTAATCAATGACAGAAAGCTGGGAGGAGGCCGATAGGGGGTGGTGGAGCTCGCTGAAACTCAGAACTAAGTAAGCACAGAGCCGACTTTTTCAGGCTTGTCTTTGCGGACCGCTTGGTGTGTGCTATCATCTGGGATCTGGAGTCGTTGACCTGGGTGGACCTCCTCGGTGCTTTGCTCTTCCGAAAGGGAAGGTGAGAGCTTCTTCAGGCTAGCCAGCTACCGGGAATGCGACTTGGCGAAGGGTTGTCGGTTGGTAAGGTAGCTATTGTAGTTAGTTAATCAGAATTGGGGCCAGACGGGCGATCAATCGCTGAACGGAAGCTTGCAGCAACTCCATCTTACGTACCCGGTAGACACAGACCGACGTTGATACTCATTGCTGCGACTGTGCTTTACAACGGGCAGATTGCGTCCTGCCCCTGTCGATAGACGAAGTTGAATTTGTTTCGTGTCTGGCACAACGGCGGGCAACGTCGGTGAAGTGACCCGGACAGTCCCGGGAGGCGCACGGAGTGTCTCTGTTCGTTGTTATGGTTTCAGTGTTCTGGAGAACAGTCAACAGGTCTCCTCTTCACGAGTCGGTCAGCTATCGGGTTGACTCCGTCCTCTTGACCCATAGTTCGTATTCGCTGGATGTCCGGTGGAGTCCGGCAGTTTGATTGGGGCTTTTAGTCTGTGTAACGGTGGCTGGGTACTCTATCCGATTGTTCAGGTAAGCGGAGGTGATGCGAAGTATAATAGCAATTGCCGTATGAGAGTTGGCCGTGGCCTATTCAGTCTATCGAGTGTAGTGATAGACGCCTTAGCCGCTGCGGGGAGTCATGTTCCTAGCTTCCTCTTGCTATCGGTATAAGCCATCTCTTGTTATTTGCTTTGTCATTCCTGGGGGTTCTCCGGAGGATGCCTGGACTGCGAGGTCGTCGGAGAATTGTTGAATTCGCTTTTAGTGTGAGATACGTCGGCAGCGGATCTTGACGGCATTGCATTCATTTTTCCTCTTTCTTTTCTTTTGCAGCCACCGCAGCTGCAGTGGGCTCGGTGCGCTGGGCAAGCTGGGCAAGCTGGCTCGCTGCTCAATGTTAGGATGATGATTTCTTGCCGAAATATTGCCGTCGGCCTTGGCACTCGCCTTGAGTAACGAAAATCTCAAGTAATCGCAATGGGCCTGGACATATCTTTCGCCGCCGCCGCCGCCGCCCAGGCCAAACCCCTGCAGTGGTCATAGGTAATAGGAGGGTGTTTGCGTGTCCGTGATTTCTGCGTATGTGCTCCATCCCTGTGTCATAACACACCTTGTTCTTCGCCGAAAATCCTTGCTAGCATGAAATACACAATAATGCCACCCGCTATGATCCACACCTTATTTCGCCAGATCCAACCCTGTCCTGCGTCCCTTGCAGCCTGGCCACCCTGAACCACGACTCCGACACCGGTGCTCCCCCCCAGTATCCGTCGCAAGGCTCTCGTCTCGGGCGAACAATTGATCTCTTCGCCTTCTTCGTCGGGGAGCATCCGACCAGTCACTGGGTCAATACGATGCTCTTTCATCCATATCCAGTTCTCCTTGTCCTCATCGGGGAATTCTGCCCGGAACTTTGCTCCTCCGTCTCCTGCTTTGATGTTGCCAATGCCCTTCGTGGTCGGGTGGACGCCGGGCACCGGCTTTGAGGCTGATCCGCCACCTGTGGAGTTCCACCACCTTGATCTTGCTGCGTGCCACTTCCGCTCTGCGGCTGTTCCTCCAATACTACCAGCAGTCATCTCCTCGCTGTTCATAAATGACATGAGCCCTATGAGTATGGTCGACACTGACCATGCGGGATTGAATAGTTGGGGGTGGTAATCGGAAATGCTCAAGCACAGTCTCGTGGAAGGTTGGAACCGGCCTGATGGAGTATGCATTCGGCTGATTTTTCGTCAGCCATCCAAACACTTCTATTAGGAATAGCAAAGCTTCGGCAAGGGATGCACCCTACGGCACACGGCCCCGGGAAAGACTTACATGGCGGGAGGTGCGAAAGGATAGTCGGGAGGGAAAAGGAGAGTTCCCTGAGTTCCTGTTAGTATCCACCGTGATTGAGTTCAGTGAAATCGCCTTCTTCGGACAGTCTCCTAGCGATGATGGTAACTCACATGGTATTGTCCGCCTTCTGTGGTTTTGTAAAGCGAAAGTGAGAAGCCCGATTAGGTTAAATTGAGGCACTTGGAAAACCTACCATACGGTGTGTTTGGAGCCCCGGTCAGAATATAATGCCATTCAAGTATATTGTTCTCGCTCGGGTGTGCTTGTATGAATGGAGGTGGAGAACGCTGGATTGCCTCATATTCCCGGATGAGTCTTTTGTGGGCGCCTTTCGTTGCCATGTTCGCGGGGAGAAATCGTAGGGTGGGTGGGTCTTGGATGGAAGGTGAACAAATGGAAGGTCTAAAATTCAATCTGAGAAAATGCCACAACACATGACGAAAGGAGAATCACCACCTTGCGTGGATAAACTGCGAGGTTGCGAGGAGAGTTGTAACGACAAAGACACGCGAGCATGCGCAGTCAGAAGTTGGTTGAGTGGGCTTGCTACCTCGCGAGCCCGCTACCTCATTGCGGCCGAAACAGATCAGCGCAGGGCAAGTCTGCCGAGGACTAATCGACGTCCGCAGCTGCGCAGTATGTGGGTCTACAAGATGCATTTTCGCAACACAGCTCTCGCATCTACGGTGCCCTTCTCCCCTGGGATCTTCACCACCAGCTGCAACCGAAGCCTGCCAGCTGGCTGAGCTCAATGGCAACCTCGATCCCTAGTGAGTCGGAGGAAAGCATTTTTCAGCTCTTAAAAAAGGCCGACACAAAGGAGCTGGAATCTCGAGAAAAGGCTATCAGTGACCGGTTACATCGCACGTTTCAGCTCGGGCAGCAGCGAATTGCGGAGCTAATTGACCAGAACTCAACTTTACCCACCACCGTGTCGTCAGTGACAGTCCTCGGAACCCAAAACACAAGGCGCGGTTTCCTTGGGGCTGTGGTGAATCCTCTATTGAGCGCCAACCGCGACCGACCATATACTCAATCCGAGCTTATACACGAAGTCGCAAGGACCGCCGAGAAGCTCAGGAAGTTTGGTATTGTCATATCTTTGTTCGCGTGGTAGCATTGTCTTATTGTGATACAGGCATCTATCACGATCCCGTCTCCGTCTACTTAGACAAACCTTCCAAGACTGACCCGACAACTACGCCAACCGATGTTGCCATATACTACTCCGTGAAAGAGAAAAGCCGGATATTTGCGAAGACTGGAACGGATCTTGGCAATGCGGAAGGATCAGCATACGCCAATGTGCAATGGAGGAATGTGTTAGGCGGCGCCGAAACTCTTGACATAAATGCGTCCATCGGCACGCGCACACGCTCATCGTACCAAGCTACGTTCGATACTCCCGTACTGAGTAATCCCGATCTCCGGTTTCAGGTCGGCGGATTGCAGAGTGCGACTCAGAAAATCTTTGCCAGCCATGAAGAAGTGCTGAAGGGAGGCTGGACGAAGTTACGATGGCTGACTTCAGCGGGATCTTTTCATGAAATAGGATACAACGGTTTCTGGCGACAAGTGACGGGGCTCGCAGAAAATGCTTCACAAACCGTCAGGCACGAGGCAGGCGACTCTTTCAAGAGCAGCATTTCACACTCGTGGATGACCGATCGAAGAGACAACTCGATGCTACCAACCCGGGGTTATTATGCCAAGACAACGGCAGAACTGGCAGGATGGGGACCACTACAAGGTGATGTGGCATTCCTGAAAAGTGAATTGGAGACCCAATCGGCATTATCGATACCAGTGCCGGGTATAAAGGGCGACAGTGGCGTGAGCTTCACCGCTGGTTTTCGTGCAGGCCTCCTGTACCCTTTAACCTTAGGATCGAAGCGGAACCCAGAAATGTCGCGGATAAATGACCGGTTCCAACTGGGTGGTCCTACAGATGTTCGAGGCTTCAGACTATCGGGGTTGGGGCCCCATGACGGTCCAGATGCGGTGGGCGGTGACGTCTACGCAGCCGGGAGTGCGAATCTTCTTTTCCCTCTCCCCAAGGTTGGAAAGGATAAGCCTCTACGATTCCAGGCCTTCATCAACGGTGGAAGGCTATTGGCAATAAGAAATCCAGAAAAGGAGGGTCCGATGACAAGCCAAGAAGCCAAGCAAAGTGTTGCAGACGCTTTCTCAGAGATGGGAAATGGGCTACCGACAATGTCAGCCGGTATAGGGCTCGTCTACGCCCACCCTGTGGCGCGATTTGAGCTCAATTTTTCATTACCGCTAGTCGTCCGGAAGCAGGAAGAGGCCAGAAAGGGGGTGTCTTTCGGCATCGGCATCAATTTCCTGTAGTAACAGCGTTAGACAACAACTGTACATAGTAACAGCGTGGCCGATAATGACTCGTCGAAATCGCATATTCCTGAGACGAAACAAGGCTGAGCAGGGCTGAGAGGAAAGGCCAACTGGCAGAAGAGAAGTTCAGTCGGCACCAGCCAGTCAGAGCGTCTCCGCTGCGGAGTTTGGTTCTTGAGGGCCACCTTGGGGCCACTCCGAACA